CCCAAGCGGGCTGCGAGATGGAGAGAACACTTCCAACGAGCACAGGCGACTTCTGCCCCAGGCCGGTGAGCCTCCCTTCCCCTGCCAACATCAATCTGGCAGCAATCTCCTCCCTCATCTCCCCATCGTCGATAATCCTGCGCCCTCTGACAAGATACATCCTGTTTCCAGGAGAGATCTCATCAACGATGATCCTCATAACCAGGTCAGCAGGCCGGTCACCGCCGCTCCAGCCTTTGACCTCTGCCAGCCAGGACTGTAGTTCAGCAGCGAGTCCGCCGGCGATGTACTTCGGGCCTCGGCGTTGCGGTGAGAATGCCTCTGGTAATCCTTCCTGTCGCGGGCCTTCGGTTTCTGCAATCTTGAACCGCGGGGCCTGGTGGAACTTCGGTTGCGTCTTTACGGTTTCTCCGTCGTTGGGTTCAGGTAGACTGGGGTCCTCGTCCATCAGGATGTCCTCAGCGTCAATCAGCATGCGGTCATTCACGTCTCGGAGCTCTTCTTCCTCTTTCGAAACTTCATGAACCTTATCATCTTCTTTCGGGTTGCCTTCAAAATGATCTTCGGCATCACCGTGCCGGCTGGGCACTGAAGAGACGGAGATGCGCCTGCGCTTGGGCACCCTTTCCTCTAGATCGCTCTGGACGTCACTACTCGCTTCGGACTCGGCTTCAATCGAGTCATTAACTGAGAAGCCCGTAGCCCGCGGTGCAGGTATCTCTCCGTCGTGCGAGTCGCTCTCGTCGTCCGACTCGATTTGGATTCTCTCCTTCACTCGTTGCGTGCCTGCAAAGGTCGATCGCGGTCGCGTCACCGTGGCAGGGCCCTCTGGCGGCGAGCTTTCCAACGCATCGTGAATCGGATCGACATGTCTCGACGGCCGGATCGAGCCGGGAAAACCAGGTGTAGAGGGCGGCCGCTGCGTCGAGGGGCGGTTCGTTGATGGTGGGGCAAATCGCGGCGTGGCGTGGAAGCGCTGGCTGTTCGCGAACGCGGGACCCGCGCTACCTGGTGTCTTCTGTGACAGAGGCGGTCGCTTCGTGAGGAGGAATTTTCGAGGGGTAGGTGTCTGTAAAAGCGCCAGGTTAGCGGTGGAAACACAGAATCTCGCAGGATGGGGAGACGAACTGATGGTGGCGGTTGCGTCATTGTCAGGTCAGCCAAAAGGACCGCGGCGTAGTCGTCGTGAGGCGTTGACGGTGCAGCGCAGTGCTTTCATTTCGGCCAGCGTTTGGTGAGCATGCAGAATCGCGGTGTCAGCGGTTCTTGCAACGATGATGGCGGGCGGCTTGAGTTGACGTCGATGATTGCTGGGCAGGCGCGTCGTTGCGCTGGCGTCGCGTTAGGCGTTATGCGATGGCGCGAGTGCCGAATATGCACGGTGGGGTGATGTACTTGATAGATGCATATCTGCCCCTCCACGTCGTCGGTGACGAACGACAGGTAGCTTCCACGAGTGGGAAGACTCAGAGGATTTATTTGTGTTATGTGGATTTGCCATAGAACTCTTGAATTTTGGAAAAAGCCAATGCTGCAACGGGCTTATGTGTCGAGGCACACCTAGGTGGCTTGAAATTGGTGTGAAAGCATGGCAGGTATGGGTCTCGCGGGTATGACGACAGAAGAAAACTTCGGAAACTGTCATCACAAGTCAGGCAATGAAAGAATTCTCTGAGGTCGTCGTTGACTGTAGGCGAAACGTTTACTCAGAATGGAGACGGAGAACACAGCCCTGGACAAGCGGCATTGCTTACGCTGCAGGAGCTTTTGTGCTGCCTGGCTTCAAAGTGGTAGGTCATTGTAAACAGCAAGATCCTCAAGCTGAATTCATGCACGTTCTATTTGAAGGGAATTGTTGTTATCGGGAGACTTTCGCATTGATTACTGATGCATCCACACTCGGGTGTTGGCCCAAACGTCCTTGCATGCTGAAGCAGCACCATCTGCGATGAACAAGGCATCATTCTTAACCGGTTTTCATTATTTTGCGCCTGAAACAACTATTCATAACTCTAAACTGCGAATAAATCAGAGATTATGAGTCTAGAGTCATTCTCGTGGTCAGTCACTGGAATCACTGAAAGAAACAAGATCAGCGTCACGCTGCCAGAACCATGAGTAAAGACTCGTTTTCTGACATCGTTAATTCCCGAGTGCTTGCTCATAGCTCGGCGCAAGGTATTTATGAGTATCTATTGGGTCTCAATCTGCGTTGAACCTAAAAAAATAGACGAGATGTAACCGTGTATGCCGTTGTCGTCCTTCGAAGCAAGGAAGTGACACTCATGTTCGCTCAACCTCTCCAGTCTGCCCTCAGTAGACAGCAAAATTGTCATCAACACGACTCACTCCCCGTCATCCTCCTTTCCAGTTTCCAATTACTCAGCGGGCAAGGTCTTAAATCACTAGGAGCGGGCTTGTCATGTCTTGAGCGAGAGAACATCATTCCTTCAAACGTGACAAGTCCCATTCTTATACCCAGGGCCATGACATGACTTCAGAGACTAGGTATAGTAACTATCTCGAATCTGGCGCCGCGTATGAGCCTAGCCCAAACCCTCTCATACTTTGCCTGGAATACGGTGGGGGAACGCGAACGTGATTCGAGATATCAAGTTCAACATCACATCAGATAGGCGATGAAAAAGAAAACAAGTAGTCTTGCGGGCTACCCCGTATACTACCTAATTCAGCTCAGATGTCCACGAAATATAACGCATCAGGGAATTCAAATACGGAATGCATCACATTGGTGCCCGCATTAGCACAGCTGGATTGGAGCAATCACTCAACCTTAGGGACTCCAGATTAGGCTTCTCATGGACCGTACTTTCCTTCACGCTCTGCCTGCAGCCTGCGCCGCTGCTAGTTGCCTTAGCGGTCTCTAGGTGAACAGGCGCTCTGCAATCGTGATTCACCATCTTACATGCAAATGACATGCATGAACCACAGGTAACTTCACTGCATTCTTAAACCCTCCTAAGGCAACAACATTTCATTTCCGTGAAGGTTGTGATCATACCAAACTGCTTATGCGGATTTGCAACGTCTATCTCGCCCATTATACCATAGAGATTACCATATTATGATATGCCTCACATCCACATCCAACGCCTGTCAAACCCCATCGCTGACAAACAAACCAAGCATCCCCTCATCGACGCACCGGTCTCCTACACCGATCACGTCCCACAACACAAACGGAACAAAACGCCCACATGGCAACGAGAAACCCCCGAACCCGAAAACTTTCCGCATCGACAGCCTCACCAAAACTGCACAGCACCCGCGGATGTTGACGTGGCCAAATCCTCCCGCGGCAGGCCGCATGCGTCGCACGACAGCAAAGACATGCGTTTTCCCTTGCCGCCGGCCGTTTCCTTCGCACACGCCATCGGAGAATATCCCACCTCCCGGGTGCCTCGCTGAATGTCGTGTAACAGCCGGAACCTGCAGCGTGTATCTAGGCGAACGGGATGTGCGAGGTGACCAAAAGTCGAGACGAGGAAGTGCCCGATCAGACGATGGGCCTGGGTTCGGGCCTCAGGTGCGAGATAGGGGAGTTAGTCTCAAGACTTTGCATCCCACGCCCGGAGGACTTCAGCTGTCAAGTCACCACCCTCCTCGGTCCTCTCGATCGCGAGTTCATCGGCCTCGATCCTTCCCTGCCTTAACCTGGCTTCGGCCACAACGTCTCTGTCATCCCTCTCGCCCATTGCTTTTGAACATGCCAGATCAGTCATCCGCAAACTGATGCCAACGAACCCGACGAGAATGTTGACGAGTGCTACCAAGACTCTCAGAATGGCCAGTGGTGCCTCCAGAATGACTCTCCCAACCCCTCTTCCCCCTTTCTTCAGCTCTGCCGGTTGATATGCAATGCTCTGCAACTCTTTCCAAGGCGCAGCTACCAAGAAGCCCAGCATCTGTCCGTAGCCGTACAACCTGGGGTTGCTAGCATAGAGCTTCGGCTCAGTAGGGGAAGCCATCTTCCATAGAATAAAGTCAACGAAGTTGAACATCCCAAACGTGAGCCCCGCCAAGATCATCAATGGCGCTATCCATCATCGTCAGCAAACCCCCAACAACAGAGCATCCCGAACTCACCTCTGATAACATGAAGCACCACAAACGCCCAGGCCTTGTCCTGCACATCCTTCCTCACACCTCTCCCAACCCCCTTCACCCCCATCACAAGCCCACTCACAGGATCCCCAGGCGCAACCAGATCCCCCCATCTCACAGCCTCCACCGCCCTTAACTCCTCCCACTTCACCCGCCCCTCCCTCATCAACACCTCTGCAGCAACAGCACTCACCAACACGCCCCCAACCCTCCAAACACCGACCCTATCCCTCAGCACCGCACACCTCAAGCCCTCATACACCTCCAAACTCCTCTCGAGATCCTCCCTAAACCCCTCGACACCATCCCTCTCCGCCCTCACCCGCCTCCCAAACTCCCCCGCCGCAACCGCATACCTTTCCTCCAGCAGCTCCCCAAGCTTCCCCCGTAACCCATCCTTCGTCATCTGCGCAATGCCGAACCCGACCGCCGGCCCACACCCGACCTCCGCCACCCGGCTGCCCCAGAACGGCTGGTCCCCGGCCACAGGCACCACCAGCGTCGGCCGTCCGCACCGCAGGGCCATCGCAACCGTCCCGGCGCCGCCATGGCACACCACCGCCCTGACCCGCGGAAACAGCCACGCGTGCGGTACATCATCCACAACAAACACATCATCCACTTCCTCCCCTTTCTCACCCACGCCCTCGTCCATCACAACCCCGCTCCATCCCCTACACACAACCACCCGGAGCCCCATCTCCCTCACCACGGCCCTCACAACGCCAAACACGTCCGCCGCGTTGGCGAAGGTCATGCTCCCGAAGCCGACATACACCGGCGGCTGCGGGCCCTTCTCGAGAAACTTGACTAAATCAGGGGGTGGGACAAGGTCACCTTCAGAGACGTCTTCGAAGGCAAACCCCGCGACAGAGATGTTGGAGGCCCAGTCGGACGGTTTGGGCAGCAGCAGCGGCGACCAGAGGTATGTGCACGGCACGCGGAGCCGGTTGAACTGCGAGAGCCACCACGCGGGCGAGAAGTCCTCGAGGCCCATGCCGCGGCGGGTGGCGTTGACCACGGGCTTCATGGCTTGGAGGAATCTTGAAGGTGTCTGTCAGTGAATCATTCCCAGTCATATCGGTCGGTCTTGCCCATCTCTTAGAGCATAACCACAACTCCGCCGACGCCACCTCTCCCGCCCTTCAGAACCCACCCCTGAAGATGAAAAGAAGATGAAAGAAATCAAGACTCACAACAAATCCTGCACCCACCAACTCGCCCTCCTCACAATCCCTCCATTCCCAACCGCCCACCCCGCCTGGCTATGCGGCACCTCCCTCGAGTACATCCTCGGGTTCATCCCAAACAAGTGCAACGGCACACCCATCCTCGCCGCCGCCGACGTCTGCACGAAAACCTGCATCGTCGAGACAACCAAATCAGCCACAAACCCTCCCGCCTCGCTCCCTTCCTCTTCCACCACATCCTCCACCCCATCCCTCTTCTCCCCAGGCATCGTCCCCTCATACCCGCCATCAACACAAGCCCCCCACCACCGCGCCCCCATCTCCCCAAACTCCCGCTCAATCTCCGGCACCTCCCTCTTCAGCTCCTCCCGCGGGAGCAGCCGCCGCGCCATCATCCGCTTGATATCGCACCGCGCCCCGGCGCTGTAGAACCCCACCCCCGCCGCCTCCACGGCCGCCCGGTACGGCGGGTGCGTCGCGATCCGCACCCGCACGCGGTACCGCCCCCCGGAGCGCTGCAGGGCTTTCGCGATCGCGATCGAGGGCTGCAGGTCCCCCCGGGATCCCATGAATAGGATCACCACGTTGACGCGGAGCGGCGGTGGCGGTGTTGATGTCGTGTTGTTGTCATCCTCGTCGGCGGACATGGTGTAAACCGTAGCGGACAAAACCTTGCACCTTCAACACGAGAGAGGCGAAAAGCTAGATATCAGACACGACTTCGTAATACCTCAGCACACACGAGAAAAGAAGGAAGGACATCATTCAATCCGCTTCAGTCATCAAAATCTCTCTCATCATCTCGGTCCATTTAGACTTCCCCCCTATTCTCATTGTTCTTCCCATCACATTACGTGAGACGCTAAATCCGCCTCCCCGGCCAATCACACCCCGACAAGCGCGCCAAATGTGGCTGCCTAAACGACCATTTAATCGAGAATCCTTCCATGATAAGAAAAATGACAATAGCGTGTTCCTCCAGGACAAAAGAGGAATTGATTACATTATCCCCAAGCCTTGCTCTGGGGGACATGCCATAGTCTGCGGCCGCCCGCGGGGCCGCCGACGTCCTGATGGATGCGTCTTCGGAACGGAGCACACGGGACGTCTTATTTTCGGCTCCGGGGTTCCATCGCGGAGACGGGCCGCGGGAAAGAGGAGGGAACAGAGACGTGGTAGTGTGGTCTCGGCGTCCCGTCCAGCACATGTCGTCTCTTATTCGGTTTCGCCACCATTCTTCAGTCTCACGGACCAGGCCGCTGCTCTTCTCTTGCTACCGTTATCGTCATATCAATGTCACAAAAGTCTAAATCAGCAGTGTTTGTATGTGTGTGTGTACATGGCATGTGTGTGAGTGTGTGCGAGCATCTCTTCGCCTCAGAGACAAAGTTCAGACCGAAGCGCCGAAGCTGCCATGACCTAGCTCGACCAGGCCTCCGATGCGATTTCAAAATCAAAGAAAGGGATCGAGCGCAACAATCGGACGCCAAATTTGCCTCCTTCTTCGCCGCGCTCCCAACTTTTGGGCGTTTCGCCATCGGACGATGACACATGTAATACCTTAAATCACCGTATTGTAGAGAGGGGGAAAAGACCGCCATCCCGAACGAGAAGAGCAAAGGTGGTGTTACATCTGTTCACGTCTGAAGTTCCCGGACAGTCGATGCAAGGGGGGGTCAGCAAAGAGCAGCGAGGGCTGAAGACGAAATCTCTCTCTGATGGTTGGATGCTGCGTTGCCTGCGAGACGCACCGCAACGCTACGACGCAACAGACCACTGACTCGGAAGAAGGGAGAAGAGTCGACGTTGGAATTGTCTCAAGCGGTCGCAATCACAACAATGGGCCAGGCCGAGGGCCTCGCTTCCAGAATACGAAATGGAATGAAACAAAATAACGTTGCCCAGACAGGTGTCTATGCCACGGGCCTCTGGATGGAGTTTTCGAATCTTCTATAATCGGCAGCGGCGTTTGTCTCAAGGAGCGGATGGAAATTGGAGGATCTGGCGGAGGATGAGATAGCGGCTGAATAGACCGATGGCGGTCCGGCAACAGATCGACTCTGGGCTTCCGTCGATTCGGCTTGACACCACGGACATTTTTTCCTGACTCGCTAATCTGGCCACGCTGACGGCCGATTTACGCTGAGAGACGGGATCGGAAATGTGGCAGAGAAGATGAGTTGACCGTCGTGCCGTGCATGTTGGATGGGCCACGCCACACCAGACACACTGTGGCGAGGTCTTCCAACCACACCAAGTACAACTCTCTCTCTCTCACTCGCTCTGTACTTGGTACTGCGGAGTAGATGATCACATAGCGTTGAGCAAAGAGTAAGGAACTTGCATGCCAGTGCCTCCAACGCATGTAAAGAGCTCGCAGAAGGCCAGGCGCAGCCAGACCAAAGTTGGTTAACCTTAACGTTAGCGGCCTCCCACTGCAGGCACCTGACACGCCTCTGCCGACCGCTCGCACGTACTGGCGCGTGCTGGGCTCGCTGGTGTTGCGGAATATTTTGTGATTCGGGGCGCCGCCGGGCCTACTGCAGCGTGTTTGCAGTTTGCATGCGAATTTTGGGACGGCGTCGGTCCACGACTTTCCAGCGTCGCAGCCGCAAGGAACAGGCCGCTGAAGAATGCTCCCCGTCCCCTCATCGTTCGAACTCTTGGGGCCACCAGCCAGATCCGCAAGGGATGGATGGGCAAAAAAAACAACAAGATCAGAGATGGTGGGAGGGGACGGAGGAGGCGGAGAAGCTCGTGCTGGCAAATGACAGCGACAAGTGGCAGTGGCAGTGACCGTGGCTTCGGTTTGAGTGGTACTGGAGCAGGTCCCGAGTCTTTGCCCGTATCATGATGGCGTTAGTGCAGAGGGCAAAAGTTGAGATGAAACCATTGTAAATCACTCGAGACCAGGGTCCGAGGGTGCAAGCTCGTGAGTGTGTCGCCTCGAGATGATCGGCGCAGGGATGACACCCTGCAGCAGACCTTGTCAGAGGTTGGCTGGCCTGGTGGACTGGTCTGCGGGCTGCAGAAAGGCCTGGAGACAGGTCGTCTCGTCCGCGTTTGCGCTGCATCGTCGGGCCCGAGACCGAAGACTGAGGCCTTCAGTAGACCAGAAACAGCCAACAAACAATTGCCTCAACCTAGACCGCGGCACGTCGTCTGTATTCATGGATAGACGGCGTGTCGTAGGGCATCCGTTTAGCCCGCGGCTTGGCTTAGGTCCAAGGCGCTGCTTTGGTGTTCGTCGCCTGCGAGGTCTGGCAGCTGAGAGCCACGGAAAGAATGCGGCGGCATGGTACGGCGGTACACGGAGATGTACCTGGTCGGGTGTGCCCTGGAGCTAGACCTTGTCGACCCAAGCTTCCGTGGGCCGAGTTTGCGTCGCATCCCCTCTCCGTCAACCCATCTCTTAGCGGAAGCCAAGATGGAGGCACCTTAGCTGCTACCCAGGGCACCTTACTTGAGGCCTCGAAAGTGGCGCTAAGTGGCGTCCGTCGTCTTTAGGTCGCAGACGGGACCATCGCAACGTGTGTGATGGATGCCTGTGCTCACCGACTTTCGTCAGCGAGGGAAACACGTACAAGGTGAGGAAAAGGAGGTCACCGGTTGGGCGGGAAGGCGTCGTCCGTCAGCGAACAGCTGGCTAGTGCATCTTCTAGGGGCCGAAGCCGATGACGGGTGCGATGATGATGATGATGCTGCTGCGTTTGGCGCGCGCAGCCAACAAGACGAGTGGCAGTATCGGTATCAGCGGCACGGCAGAGCAGAGAAAGCAAGGCGAAAACGGTGATGTGGAATACGGCAAGAGCAACACGAGGTATGCTCTGGAGGTATGCTCTGAAGTGGTGGGCATCTGAGGTACCTCGAGTATCATCATCGGGTGTTTGGCTCTGCAGTGGAAAGCTTGAGCGCCTGCGCGTCAGCGTCAGTTTGCCGTTTGTCTGACAAAGTTCGCATCGTATTGCTTGCGGGCTCGGGGTGCTGACCTTGTTCATTGCGCAGTTTGTTGCCTGTAGCGTTTTGGCTCCGTCTTGAAGGCTTCGTACATGGCTTCGGCTTTGACTCTACAGCCTCGCGGACCTCGCATCCTGTGTTCTTTCGTCCAAAGTCCGGTGGCCGGATGTCGAGGGTGTCCGCGTCGACTAGGCCTAAAGAGGGCATGTTGGAGCAGAAAGGAGCGCGCAAAGCATGCTGAAGTGCGGTGCTGGACGGATTCTGGCGCAGCCCAGGTGTTCTGTTCCCAAATTGCGCTGAGCGCCAGGCAGAGAGAGGTCAGCGCAGCGCAGCGCAGCACAAGGCAGAGCAGGCCAGAACAAGAACAGAACAGCAGCAGCGCAGTGCGGCAAAGGTGCGACCGGGACCTGGGGTGACCGTTGGAGTTGTTCCTGAGTCTTTCCAGGCAAGGTTCCATTCTGTCTCCAATGACAAGAGGAGTGGACATCAGCTGAAACATGTGCAGCTTTTTTGGGGGGCTGTCTGGACCCACAAAAGAACCCGGCCGGGTCCACAGAAGGCTCCCCGTCGGTGGTGTCTCTGAGAAGGTGGTGTTCTAGCTTCGTACTGCCGGGCTCATCGTCCGTCTCCTTCTTTTTTTTGCAGTGATTGAGTGAGTCTTGGGTTGAAATGCAGTGATTGATGGCGCACCCCTCCCAGCGGCCCTGGCTAAGCACGCTAAAAGGCTGATGGTGGGCTGGTCTGGTTTGGCTAGAGCGCCACCTTGAGCTGCTGTGTGATGGAATAAGGTAAATTCGAGGTGTGTGTTGTGTTGTATGTGCCTTGCGTTTAAGTCCGGTAGTTGCAATGAACGAATGAGTTGACGGACGGATGGATTGGACGACGAGAGATGGGACAAGTGTGATATTTCGCCTCTTATGCCGCGTTCTGGTGAGGTTTATGCCTGTACCGCATTGTGGCTAGCAGCTGCGCCTGCGTCCTGCTGAGGCCGGCGGCCACAGAGGCAATTTGGCTGTCCATGCTGATGCCTTGATTGATGACTGATGAAAGTGATGCCTTCCTTCCACATATCCGCGGCCATGCCTCCTGGGTCCATAACATGCGTCAATGGCAGCAGCCGCGAATGGCTGACCTTTCTGGGAAAGAACCCGGCGTCGGGCCTGCCCCGCCGACTCAATGAGAATATCCGTCCGTGGTCCATCAGAAAAAGAAGGAGAGAGAAAGAGGACGTCACTTGCCTGTCGTCGTCCACGATCACCCTGGGTGAGGGAAGGCACCATGGGCATTGTGGAGACGATGGGCTTCAGCTGCAACACCCACATGGGGACGACGGATGACGGGCGACGGACCACGGAAGGAGGCGTCTCGTCGTCCCACCATGGGCTCCAAGTAGAGGGTTTGACCTGGGAGGCCGACAAGAGAATACGCAGTACGCAGCCCGTACGAACACTGCGGCACTGCAGAGTAAAGGG